CCGCGCCGCAGCCCCGCCCCCACCCCGTGGGCTCGCGGGTCCGCCCCACCCCATTGCGCAGATGGGGAAACTGAGGCCAGCAGAGGCGGCCAGCTTTGCAGTCACGTAACCAGGCAGCAAGACAGCCTCACCGGGGCCCTGGAGCCCTGTGGCACTGAGCAGGGTCCCAGGAAGCACCAGATGTGACCTCTCCTCACCGCGGTCCGCTAGGTCGGGACCCTCCTCACGCGGAGTAGCCAGGACTGCCCTGAGTGGCCCTCCCAAGGACAGGCCCTTGCCGTTGGTCACCGCCAGGGGCTCTGGGCTGTTGCCTTTCTTCTCCTGGCCTCCTTTTTATGACCTGGACTAAGCGAGGCACACAGGAGCTCGGCAATGTCACCGCCCATACAGCGGGCTCTCACTGTGTGTGAGCGCTGGCCACACTCCCTGGCCACGCCTCAGACGCACCAGCTGGTCCCAGGGGCGCGTGCGGAAACAGGTCACCGTGCTCTGGCTGTTGCGACTCACCTGGTACTGGGCAACCGTCATCCCCTGGACCCCCGTGGCAGCTGCTCCTCTGGGCACAAGAGGTCCCACATGGTTCGCTGGCCCTGTGGGCTGAGGATCAGAGCCGGGTGCGGATCAGAGCCAGGCAGACCCCTGGCCACCCTGTAGTTTGGGCCTGGGAAGGGCTGGGGTCCAGGACTGGTGCAGCTGCAGGAGCCCTACTGCGCCTGCTGCCCTGCTGTCCCCGGATGAGCTGGCCTCTGCACTGGCCACCCCAGGGCGCCCTGGCCAAGTGGACCCCAGCTCCCCTCTGGGAGTGCAGGACTGAGAAGAGAGGCTTGAGCCCCCCGGTAGCCTGGGGTGGGTGTGCAGGGCCTGCCAGTAAGAGGGGGATGATGGTCTCTGAGCTTGGTGTGGCGTCTCCAGACTCCATCAGCCATAGGAAGGGAGGTTCTACTGCCCAGAGACCCCTCCTTCTCTCAGCGACCACTGCCCTGGACCAAGGGGCCCTGAAGGCCCGGGGGGATGGGTCTGAGGATGGCAGGGCTCACTGCTGGGATGGGGCTCCTAGGTATCTGGAACCCCTAGATCCCAGCAGGGCAGCTTTCAGCCAGTCCTGGGCAGGAAAGGGCGGAGTGGGGCTCCAGGCCCTAAGTGGGAGAGCACTGTGCCCCACTGCACCCCTGCTCTTGTCTATGGAGCTGTCCTCCAGTGGCCTGTGACCTGCACTCCACCTCTCCTGCTTGCCAGGGGATGATGGGATGGCTGCCCACATTGGTGCTCTCTGGGACCTGGGTGTGGCCATACCTGCCCTCCCACCTAAAGAGTGGCCCATCCGGCCTGGGGAGAGGAGAAAGGATAGGCAAGGGGCTTACCACACAGGACCTGGGTGACAGGAGGCCTCCCCAGGGGCCAGGTATGGCCCTTACAGAGCTGTCCCTGAGCCAGCCCAGCAGGAGGTGGGGACTCTTCTGGACCCATCTGGGCTAGAGATGGGGCCAGTCCTCCACCAATACCCTCCAGTCCCCGGGAGTCCTTGTCCACACCAGGAGCAAAGAGAGAAGACCCAGTCCTGGGCGCACCAGGTCACCACAGAGGAGGAGGTGAGGGTCAGGTTAGCCCCTGAGGCTGAGCTTTGCCACTGGCCCCCAGGGCTCCTCTGGTAGCAGAGGGGGCCAGGAGGTGGGCAGCTAGGCTGACAGCTGGGTCTAGGCCAGGCCAAGGGCCCACAGTCCCCTCCTCGAGAACAGGAGTTAGCCTGAAGGACAGCCCGATCCAGAGCCAGACAGGCTCGAGCCCCACCAACAGATGTCCAGCTGTTCCTGGGGAGTCCCAGAAACACTGCTCCCCGCCCCTGCAAGGGTGCTCTGCATACCTGATACCGCATGGGCTTGGCCCGGACCACCTCCACCACCACCTTGGACCAGGCACGGATCCTGCCCCTTGCAGGAGCGTTGGGCCCCCTGGCCACCCTGGGGCACCTCCTGAGGCTGGCCCTCCTGCTCTGTCCCTTGCCACCTCCATCTGGCCTGTGGGGCAGCAGCCAGGGCACAGAGGCACCTCCCAGGCAAGGAAGGGTGGCTTTTTATGCTCCAGCCGGTGTAAATCGGGATTGGGATGGGCCCTTCCCAGCCGGACTTCCTGTGTGTGTTCTCTGCTGATAAGGGGGATCTGTCAGCGAACAAACAGGAGGCTGAGGGGCGGTGGGGGCCTGGGCCCTGAGTGTCGAGGGGCTGGCTGGGCTGCAGGGGAGGGGAGCTGTCCCCTGAGACTGCAAGGTCTGGGCCTGGAGCCACCAGAGACAAGCTGGGGCTCAACTTCAGCCTGCTGGTATCCCTGGGGACAGAGGACTCAGCCCAGGGTGTCCCCATGGCTGCATGTCCACATGTGTGGCCAATAGAAGGATCCTTCTGCATCTTTGGGCCCCTGGAGCTTGGACTTCCCCAAGGACCCCCAGCCCCCCAGATGTATGTGACACTCTAGGGCCTTGGGGAGGATGGTGGGTAGCAGGACCCAGAGGAAAGGGGTGTTTAGGAGGGCAGGACACCCTGAAAAAGTTCCCTGGGGGTGTGAGCACCCTGACCCTGGACACCTGCAGCTCCCAGGGAACACGCAGGACTGGGGGGCAGAAAGTGCTCAGCCCCTCCTTACCCTGAGCGCCAGCAGGTGGGGGTGGGTGTCAGCAACACACGCATCTCAAGGTGGCCAACAGGGAGGGCACACCTCAAGTTCCCAGTGGTCCCTGTCCCCAGGTCTGGGGTACGGACGCTGCAGTGTGCTGCAGGGAGGGCGTGTGCCAAGGACATACCCTGACCACTTGGCAGGCTTGGGGTGTAAGCCCTGCCTTGGGGTCACCCTTGCCTGCTCAGGTGGGGACTCCCAATTCTGTGTTCCTGAGTCTCCCACACCCGGCTGTGCGCTGCTGGACAGCTTGGGCCAAGAGGACACCAAGAGCAGCTTGGAAGGTCCCCTGGCCAAAGGAAGGGGCTATTGCAGGTACCTGGCTGCAGTCAGGGACAGTGGCTTCAGCCAGAGGGGACCCAGACCTGGCTAGCCCCTGCCACTTCTGAGGGTGATGGCTCCACCTGGGCTCAGTCTCCCTTCTATCCCACAGGGCCAGGAGAGGGCCGGTTGCAGGGTTGTGAGGGCAGGAGGGGGCTCCTGGCTCTCAGCCGCAGGGTCTGGGTGGGAGCAGCGGGGCAGAGGTGGTGGTGGTGTTGCCCCGTGTCCACATGTAGCTCCCACTTAAGGTCCTGCCCCCAAGGGCCAGGGGCTCTGCCTGTCTGCCTGTCTGCCTGCCAGAGGGCTTCCTGTACTGGTGCGCTCTGCGCTGATGGGGTCCTCTTCCCCATGCCAAAGGGTCGTGTCCGCCCCAGCCCCCACACTTGGGTTGCTGTCTTGACTCTGGATGGAAGAGTCAGCCAGTACTGGGGTGGCTGCATCCTAGCCCTTAAAAAAAAAAAAAAAAAAAAAATTGGGCTGGCGAGATAGCTCAGTGGTCTAAAGCGCCTGCTTAGGCAAGCATGCAGGGACCTCGGTTTGATCCCCAGCACCACATGCCATGCCAGCCCCGCCCCCAGGGTGGGCTGAGCTGACCATAGAAAAGAAAAAAATAAATAAACATTTAAGAAAAAAAAAGATTAAAAAAAATTATGAGACAGAATTTTTCTGTGTAGTCCAGGCCTGCCTGGAACTCACTATGTAGCCCAGGCTGGCCTTGAACTCAGGGCGGTCCTCCCACCTCAGCCTGCTAGGGCTAGGATTACAGGCACGCGCTGCCTCGCCCAGCTCCTGAGCCTGCTGTGTTCAGAGAGGACGCTGAGGGCCAGAGCGCTGAGCAGTGAGGCACAGCTGCTGCCCGTCCCTTCTAGGAGCCCCAGCCCCTCTTGTGCCTCTGGCCTTGGTGGCTGGCTGTAGGCCTGGCTCTGGCACGGTGGCAGGGCGCAGCAGGAGCAAGAGGCCGAGACCGCATGGGTGGGAGACTGCCCCTCTTGCACTCGAAGCCCAGGGGTGCTTCTTGTGTGTTGGGGATGGGCCTGTGCACCGTATGTGCCCGGCCTTCTGTGCCCCCTCGGCTCAGACCCAGAGTGCCAGGCTTGCCCTGTGCTGCTTGCCCTGGCTGACATGGGGCAGGCTGGGCAGGGGGAGGCAGGGAGGCTGGGGGGTGCTGTGAGGGTGGGGCCTGCTGTGGGCCAGCCCCTGAGAATACTCGCTGGGCGCAGGCGGGATCCCCCACCCAGAGGTGCATGCCCTGGAGGCTGCAGCTTCTCACTATCCTGGGCACCGTACACTGAACACTTCGGAGAAGTCGAGTGCCTCCTGCCCAGGCCTACGTGCCCCACCGTGGCAGGGTACCCCACGCTCGCTCCGGCCCACCCTGGGACCTAGTGGTTCTGCTCCTCGTGGGCCCCAGGAGCCCCGAGCCAAATGTCAGTGCGCTGGCAGAGCCGGTGGCGGTCAGGCGGCTGCAGGTTGTCCCTACCTGGCCCCAGTTTCCCTGTACGCCCTCCCTTGGGACTGGATGGTCACCGTTGCTTCCAGCCTACCTGCTCCTGTTCCGAGGTCGATAGTCACGGGACAAAG